AGCTGAAAGGTTGGACCTTTGCGTCCTTCCAGAGGCACCTTAGGAGAGAGGCCTGCTGACCTGCTTCCAAAGGGTCTTAGCCTTCATCTCCCACTGGAGTGCAGTTCGACTGCCCAAGGGGGTCGCTGAGCTCCAACCACGCCAACAGAGCAACAACCACACCCTTTATCTACTGTTCCCATCAAACCGCATACGTTTGGGGTAGGCCTTACCAAGTTGGACTGTCTGGGAGTCCACCGAGCACAAAGTTTGGCTCATCACGGACCTGAAAGAATCAGGATGCTCCTACACAGCCGCTCACCAGAGATACTCGGTGGGTCGGCAAAGCAAGTCCCCATTGCAACCACACTAAAAACATTAGTAGTCGACGTGAAAAAAAAACTAAGGAAAAATGACTGCCATATAAAAGAGCAGCACTCTGCCCTTTTTGCAATGAACAGATGGTGAGACGAGGTAGCAGACTGTCATGATAGAGGTAGACCAGAGACACAGCTCCAGAGCTGCTCACTCACAGTTTGCTGCTTGATGGGTTTTTATAATTGTCTTTGTCTTCTACACAACGGTCGATTCTAACTTGTTTCAGTTATACTGGCCTTTTGAAAATCAATTTGAAGAATGTTTTGTCATACCATATAAACTCGTGTATAAGCCAAGTTTTTTTCAGCCCATTTTTAATGCCGTTTTTGTGGTAAAATTAGGTGCCCCAGCTGGTTTCCGGGTCGGCTTATACTCGAGTATATACGGTAATTTTAGATCTACAGGAGTTTTGCAAAGATGGCACAGGGAATTCCTGTACAGGCATACATTGTTTTGGGGCGCTTTGCTTCCCCACCCCCCTTCTTTGCCCATGGCAGATATTTCCTACAATTTGAAGGTTTATGGCAGCTCTGTCGAGCAAGCCCATCAGCACTATTTTTTCCAACAGCTTGTGCTCACTGGATGTCTCTGGCATATTTTGGTAATTCTCCCTGTAAGGCTTTCAATTCCCGTAAAGAGTTACAGTCTCAGAAACCCACAGGGACAGTTCTACCCTGTGTTAGCAGGTCGAAAGGAGTTAGCATTGACTCAATGGCAGGGAGAGTGTTTTGAGAGCTCATCCCTTAATAGACTACCCAACCCAGCCCAGTCCAACCCACTGCCATCTAGCTGATGCCAACTCATAGCGTTGTATAGCAGCGGTTCTCAACCAGTTACAGTCTCAGAAACCCACAGGGGCCCGCTATGGGTCAGCATAGACTCAATGGCAATGCGTCTTGGTATAAGGCACTGTTCAATATGTCTCAATTGTAATTAAATTGTTCCCCTGCTCACCCCGCCACTTTAAAATATGTGTTGGAATCTCAATCCCTAGAGATCTGGCTATAATCCTGTTTGGAATTGGGGTTTTCTTTAGTGTGTTAATTGGACCATTCCCAAGTAGGGTGGGCTCTAAACCTAGTCACTTCTGTTATAAAAAGAGCAGATTGGATGTAGAGCTGGGGCAAGAGGTGGGGGCATGGTGCTGGTGCTGGTGGTGGAGACACTTGGGAGGGCTGTCTACAGACTCAGGGCCAAGGAAGAGCTAGGACTGGCTACAGGGAAGAAACGACACAGTGCAGACCCTGGTTAGCCGTGGTGTCACGGGAGAGTACAGGGGGTGTAGACTGCACCCCGACTCCAGAGCCCAGAGCAGAATGTTGGCAGCAGACAAGCTGGGAGGTTCGGCCATGGAAATGGCATCACTTGGGTTGGTGTCACCCTGCACTCAGCATGGCATCTTGTTGCCACCCCACCACCACACCGTCCATCCAGTTACCTGCCATCCAGAGTGAGAGCACGCAGGCTGTGCTACCTGTCAATTGGCAGAGAAAGCATCTCACCTCCCATGGGACAGGGCACAGCTGGAGGACATGGGTTGGGGGGAGGCAACTGGTCAGAGCGTTAGGTCCTGTGAGGGGGTGGGGGGCGGGGTCTGGCTGCTCTGCCCTCAGAGGTTCCCCAGCCCACCCTCGTGCCACTGATGATGGGCTCTTCTCATCCAGAGCTGTGGGGAAATACATGCTGTTCTGGGAAGTCACTCGCTTGTGGTGTTTGGGCTACAGCAGCACTAGGAAATGAAGTCACTCTTCGTGTGGCCTACCTCTAGAGGACACCGTGCACACTGTTCTCTACTTGAATGGTGCCACTCAGGGCCATGGGGGATGTGTGATTACAAAATCTCTGGGTGGGGACATGTATTGGTTTTGCCTGCCTAGCATCCATTCTTTGTTTCATAGCAGCATCATGTTTTTCCCTTTGGGGAAGTCACTCTTTGTTTTTGTTTTTAGTTTTTAGTTTCTGATGGCTGCTGCAAGGAACGAGCGTGAGGAGCGGCACAGACTGATCATCGTACGGTTCTGGAGGTGGGAGTCCTCCTGGTTGAACGGGTCAGCAGGGCCTCATTCCTCTGGTGCCCTAAGGGAGAAGGCTTCTTTGCCAAGCTTGGC